CGCTATGGACGGGCCCCGCTCCGCCGCCGCGGCCGCCGCCGAGCCAGCCCCGCGGGGCATTCAAGCCGCGGCCGCCGCTGCTCTGACAAAGGCCATATCCTGCGGCCTCCGACGCCGCGGCGCCGAATCGGCCGCGCCTTTCTGAGTGCAGTGAAAACGGGTGAAAATGGTTGCGCCAGGTCATGTCCATGTCGCGGACCGGACCGCGCGGCGCCGGGGCCGGGCCGGGCGGGCACCGCGGTCAATGGGGTTAACCGACCCGCAGCGCCCGGCCGACGACCGGCGACCACCAGCTGCGCGGCCCGGCCCCGGCGGGGACCCCGGCTAGCGACGCGAAGAGGGGGGACTTTCATCAGTTTTAATACGACTAGCAACAGGTAGACAAGGCCCGCTAGTGCTGACAAACGCGCCCCTCGTTTGTAGGGACGTTCGAGGTAGTAGTTCTTTTAAACAAAACAAAAAGATGTGTTTGCATTCGCACAGGGTATACGAGGACTTATACTGACCGAATCTATGGTCACCCCGCGGGCAATGCGTGCGTGTGATAATCTGATCCGAATGGTATAGGCACCGCTGAGAAGGGCCCCGCCGCCACACACTCCAGGAGCCTCCTCTCCTGGAGCCCCGCCTCCTGGAGACGATCTCCTCCCGCGGGCGCCATGGACCCCGGGCCGTGTCCGTCCCGCTCGCTGGGCTCGTCTGCAGCACGGCTAGGCCTCTCGCTCCAGATCCGCCCCGCCCCACCCGCCACGCCACGCCTCGCCACGCCACGCCACGCCACCTGGAGCCTCCAGCGGCTGCAGCAGTAGCATCCGACCGATTAGCCATTCTCCAGTACGGCCCGCTCGCTCCAGCGGACACGCCCGCCCAATCAGAGCCCAGCAGCACAAGGCGCGCTACTTTCCAAACGGCCGTGCTCAACATCCAAGCAGACTGCGTGAACCGTTCTCTTCTTTTTCCTCCATTTTTTTTTTTTCATTTTTTTCGACGGAAATTTCGCCGTAAAATTATCGCTGCCGTGTTACTTTATTTCGCGCGTGAAATACTAAACGCACCGCGTCCGTGTGACCACCTGGACGGTGCGGTGGTGATGCGCCAGCGGATGACCTGCTTCTCACGGCTCCACGCCACGCCACGCCACGCCACGCCACGCCACGCCACGCCACGCCACGCCACGCCACGCCACGCGATTGCAGGGCCTGCAGGGATGCACGTCCGATGCGTCCTGTTCGCCTCACGAGAGGAGATGGAGACCTCGAGACGAGACTGGCGGGAGACGCACGGCGCAGGGCGGCGCGGAGCGGGGGCCGCGCTGGTCGACAGAGAGAGAGAGAGAGAGAGAGGGTAGGGGGAGAGGGGCACCGGGCACACAAGTTTGGGCACAGCCCCCCAGTGCGCAACCCGGCGGCCGAGGCCTTGTGCACTGCTCTTTGCTGTCCCGGCTCGTCCCCGGCTCGACCCTTATTCATGCAAACCAGTCGCGCAAACACACACACAC